AGAGGGACAGAAAGAAAGGGGTACACAGAATTCCAAGCAGGCCCCAGACTCAGAGCTGTCGGCACAAAGCCTGACATGGGGCTTGGACTCATTAACCAGGAGATCATGACCTTAGCCAAAGCATGATGCTTAACCCACATAAGTGACTGAGTCACCCAGGTGCCCCTCAGAGCACTTTGAAAAACTTTGAAGGGGCAGAGATTTTACCCTACTTGTATGCTAACAAGTCAGGCTGCCATAGTTTCAGGAATGCTTACATAAGAAACTAGGCTCCTGGGTCAGAGACAAAGAATTCTGTCATTCATGGTATAGCCAGCAGTGTGAGCTTCATGTTCATATTGCTTTCTCTTGCCTTCCAACTCCCCCATGGTGATGCCAAGGTGAGCTCAGGTGGATGCTATGCACACAATGGGTTTATGTTACTTCTGAGGAACCTGGTTTTAGGGAACCCAAATCCTTTATAATAAAATGAAAGCAAACTGCCTGACATTTACCCTAGAGGGAAATATAATCTGTCCTCAAAACAAACAGACCTACCCTCTGCTCTGAAGAGAGACACTATGTCTTTCAAGGCTGTTCACTATAAAAAGATAGTCCAGAAGAAAGGTCATCAATGCTTGTGCTCATAAAATGCACAGAAATGTGAGAAGCCCACAGAGAATTGCCTCTAAATAAGTTTGTGCTAGCCTCTGGGGAATAGTCTTGCACAAAGACGTACCAGAGATAACTTAGTTTACCTAGGGCTAATATTAATCTATGACATCTCCAAACTCTTCTTGGGGAAATTAAGTCAATACAACACAGGTAAATGTTGATGATGAAAATTTGAGGTCAGCAGGCATTCTGTATCCACTGCATGACCAACACTGTTGGAAACATGAAATAGAAGGTACAGTGAATGCCTTTCATTTTACCCAAAGATATGTAGCTCACATAGAGCCCCACTGGACTGCATGTAACCTGCCTAGCTAGCTCCTTAATACTGTCTGTGATCTAATTTCAGGATCAAATGTCAGAAACTTGCCTCTGAATTGTTACTTCCCAGACATGCCCATATATTACCATTTTAGTGGCCAAAAAGCATTACCAATTTTTTCCTTGATATTCGTTCACTCAGTAAATAAGTATTGAAAGATGTAAGAAAACACAGTTTTCTATGCAATTCAATAAAACTATTTTCCTTTCCAATGGAAAAAAAAGACACTTTTTTTCCTGAGTTTGACCTCATAGACCAAGAAATAGAAAATAAAAACAGCTACTTATTACAAATCACATCTAAGTAAGAATTAATGGTTCTATGAACTTGGAAATTCTAAGTGAATTATCAACTTCACACAACTCAATCACATACCAAATTTCACTGAAATTCATTTAAAATGAAGGATAATGTCTTTCAGATGATCATGTTAGCTTCCATTTTGTTTTAGGAAGAGTAACTGAAATGTAAATCAGTTCTATGATATATTTATAAACCCTTCATTCCTTCAGGTCAGGTATTTCAGGAAAATCTCTCAACTCTATGAAAAGTAATGGAGCAAATCAAAAAGTAATAGTAGACTGAAACCTACATTTACTTATTTTAATATATCAATGATATTTACAGAGACCTGGCCTTCTTTTTTCTTTTCTTTTCTTTTCTTTTCTTTTCTTTTCTTTTCTCTTTTTTAAGAACCACTTAGCACATGCCTTCTCAGCAGAGATAGTATATCACCTCCAAGTGGATAAATATTGGTTCTTGGGGAGGTGGGCAGAGAAAAAGCTTAGATATTACAATTGTTTGTGGGCCCCCAAAGGGTTACACTATATAAACAGATATGCTGTACATCTGTTGTATTAAATTTAAATGTTGGAGGGATGAGGAAAAAAATATCTAAAAAGGCTCCTCAGGGGGAGGAGAGAAACAATAATGAAAAAAAAAAGAAAAGCTTAGAAATGGTAATCTAGCATAGTATTTTGACAGGTGTTGTCAGATGGCAACCATTAATTAAGTAAAGGGATTTATTTTTAATTCCTCTTTATATCATATTTGTTCCATCTTTTTAGTATATATACAATATAATCACATTGAAGAATTCTAATGAAATGGCCTCCTTATCATTGTTATAATTTTTTTAATGTTTGCACATTATTTATGTAAAATCACATATACATACTGTTTTGTAGTCTGCTTTTTTCACTTTTATACATGTATTTATTTTTCTACATAGTATTTATAATGATTATTTTTATAAGAATACGTGAAATTCAGTTATACTATGGTTCTCTTCTGGTTGTACTTCTATAACTCTAGAAATTCCTTTTTTGTCTTCTCTGAAATTCTACTTCTCCTGACTGCTTTATAAAAATTGGGGTTCTCAGGAATTGCATCGTATGCTCTCTTCTCTTTTCATATAGTATCTCAGGGTGATCTCATGCATCTTCCAACACTATTCAAATCTTTAGCTTCAGCCCAGACTTCACTCCCAGGTTTCAGCCTTATATTTTCAACTGCTTACTGGATATCCCTACCTAAATATTCTTCAAAAAATAATCATATTTTCTCAAACCTGTTTATTTCTCAGCCAGGTCTTATTAACTATATTAATACGTTCAAAGTATCCACCCTCTCCATTCACTCTCCTATCACTTTAGCTCAGTCCATTTATACTATACTCCTAGCCATTTCCCTTCCTTCTATTAATGCCAGCTGCTAAGTCATCTTCCACAGTGCTGTCTGATAAGTCTTTCTAAAATGTAAGTCTGATCAAGTCACTTGCTATTGCTTATGTTTCCCAATATAGCAGCCACTAGCTACATAAAAGTAATAAGCACTTGAAATGTAGCTAATCTGAAATTAAATGTGCCAAAATAAAAACACACTCAATTTCTGAGACTTAATCTGATAAAAAGAATGTAAAAAACAAATGATTATATATATATTGAGTTAAACATTTATTTAACATATCAAAATTAATTTCATCTGTTTTTAATGTTTTAAATATGGCTACTAGAAAGTTTAAAATTATGCAGCTCACATTTTTGGCCTGCATTATATATCTCTATTGGAGAGTATTGACTTACAGGATAGTACTCAAGCCCATATCATAGAATTATGATCTTTTACCATCTGGTCACCATATGCCTACTCCATTTTGTCTTCTGCTAACTGCATACAAAGAGGGCTGGTCTTGGTGTCAGACTGACTTGGGTTCATACGTAGGCCCCTCCACATGCCAGCTGTGTGATCTGGAACAAGATGCTTTAACTCTAGGTTTCAGTATCCCCAGCTGAAAAACAGAAATAAAACCTATTTCCATGTGTAGTTGGATTAAAAGATACAACAAATGTAGGGGCGCCTGGGTGGCTCAGTCTGTTAAGCATCCAACTTCGGCTCAGGTCATGATCTCACAGCTTGTGAGTTGGAGCCCTGTGTCAGCTCTGTGCTGACCACTTAGAACCTGGAGCCTGCTTCGAATTCTGTGTGTCTCTCCCTCTCTCTTCCTCCGCTCATGTGCTCGCGCTCTCTCTCTCTCTCTCTCTCAATCTACTTCAAAAATAAACACAAACATTTTAAAAAATTTAAAAGATACAACAAATGTAAAGTGCTTACAGCTCCTCTTTTCTTTCTGTTATAGAGAGCAGGTGACAGTTTGGATGTGTCTACAGCTTTAATATTCCTAAATGTGCATAATCCCCTTCCCATGCTTAATCATTGGGGTTCTATTTTCCTTTTATTTTTTCTGTTTTTACCAAATATTAGACCCGAGAACCTCTGTGTTTCCCTTTGTTTTTTATTTAATAATATGTCCTAGTGAATTCACTTTAAAAGAAGAAATGATTGATGTAACATCGAAGAAATCTCAAGTCAAATAAAGGGCCTAATCAAAAAAAGGTTTTAGCTTGTTCTTGCCCTATAAGAGAATGTTTTTTCTGTGATCTGATACCCTACAGTCATTCTTTAAACAAAGTAGGATTTACATTTAACTTTAGAATAGCATCAGCAACAGTTTTTTTCCCCCTCACTCCTGCCTTCTTCTCTTAACTCTTCTGCCTACAAATGTCCTCTATGCCAGACCCACACATTTAGTTACCACTCAGATTAACCAGTTAGTTAGGATCCTTTGTATCATCAGCTAGGCCCGATGGGAAGATGGGCCTCAGCTCACTGTGGATTGTCCACAGTGTAGAAGAGTTCCTGGCAATAAACACCTTGAGGCAAATGCTCTCATAAATCTTAAAAGGGGGTTTGACAGCCAGAATTGTCAAAGATAAGAGTAGGGTAAAATGTTTTAAGTACATTTCCATTAAGAATTCCCATGTACATCTTTTGAATACCCAGCTCATGGAATCGTAACAGTTCTTTCCCATAGGAAAAAATTAGAAACACCATAACATTCTAAAAGGGATGATGAGACTCTGGCTAACATCTCTCAAATGTAAACTGCAGGCTTTCAAATGATTTGGTCACCTTTTCTTTGTACAATGTCAGCATTTTGAAATGGGTAAAGGATATGGATTAGGTAGAAATTGAATGCAAATGTGTTTTGAAAATAGTGTCTTTTGAGATAATAGCAGATGACGGTTGAATGCTGAAAGTATTAATACAATCAGTATTTAACCTTGTGTAGCTCCGCTTCATCAAATCACACCCTGCACATTGATTGCATTAAGCCAGGTCTATGGTTTCTTGCTTAGAAATGTCTTAAAAGAATCTTAACAGGAAGGCAGCAGTAGCTGATCAGCTACTGTTTATTTGCATACTGAGTGTGTCATCAATAATACACAAGACAAGGTCCTTAAGTTGAAAAAACAGTGGGATTGGCATGAATTTTGCTTAATGGTGCATAATAAGCAAAGTAGTCTATGGTGCCAGAAACTGACAGGATCCATTATGCTTAAACAGATATATGTCTTTAATTTAAGGATATTATGTAAATCTGACAGGAGTTTTTCCCTTTATTTTCCTGTGGTTTAACTTTAATTGCCCCAAGATTAATTCTGATTTCTCCTTTACCCTCCAGAGGGTGATGAGACTGGAGTAATGGATAATCTTCTAGAAGCCCTACAATCAGGTGCAGCATTCCGAGACCGCAGAAAGCGAATTCCAAGGAATCAAGGTAAAATCAATTCTAGCCTACATGATATTATAAAATGTGAATGTTTTTAGCCAAATACCACCCTCTGAAAAACCTTCCCTATGAATATTTTTTTAACAGTTGATCTCAGTTCATGTGTGAAAAAGTCTCAACAGGCTTCTATGTCTATGTGATCACAAGTTTCAACTTGGTAAAAGCGTCTTCAAATAACTATAGACTTTGCAAGAATTTTCAGAAACAAGGACTCAGCTGTGTTTTATATTAAATATTTTAATTGTTATTTTATGTGCATGTGGTTTGGGTGGAATGTGGCTTAAAACCATAAATGAAATTAAATTACTAAAAGTAATTGGCCCTAGGTATGTCACATTGGCTATTCACAGGTTAGGGAAACTGAAACAATGCTCCCTTCTAGAGGTTATTTTGGCTCTTTAGTACAATCCATTCTCCATTCTCCATGTTAATAAAGAGAGGAGAAGAACAGATCATCTAAGATCCTCAAAAGTCTGAAAGCATTTGAACCCCTTTTTCGTGTATTTTTTAATTAGTAATAAAACCAGATTATGAAAATTAATCTCAGTGGAAGAAAAACAAAAAAAGAAGCCAAATAGCCTTCCTCACTCAAATAGTACTAGAAAGTTGTCTGTTTTCTCTGTTCATACCCTATGGCTGAGGAAGTAATAGTTCCTTTCAGAATAATCCAAGCTGAGCTATCCACCTCCTTAAAGGAAATTTCTATATTTTTAATTTATATCTTTTTTGGAAGAAGAAGAAATTAGGTGTTTTAATTTTAAAAGTCCTCTTTATGGGCTATGGAGCTATATGGAGAAGTAAATGGAAAAAGGAAAATTAATACTAAATATGTAAATTCTACTTAATTTAGATTAATAAGATTTGACTTGAATAGCCTGAAATTCAAAAAATATTTTGTATTTGGACTGGAAAACATGTCTTCAGAATGGAAAGTGGTAGTTCTTTCAAACCACAATACTCCAACAAACTAGTAAAAGGAAGTGGAGCCCAGTACAGAGTTGTCGGGAAAGCTTGTGGTAATGATGAAATTTATGGAGGAAGATAAGAATATAAGTTATGTTCATCTTTTTTGCATTTGGGTGAATTTTGATGGATATAAAGATATTGGAGATGGCCTACAAAAAGAGTGAAAGACTGGAGGAAAGAAAAGTAAAATCTCTATTTGTATATTCATATTAATTTTTAAGGTAATGCTGCAAAGCAGAATACTAGGAGCACTACTAATCTGTAACTATGAAGCAGCCATTCCATATATTCTCAGTCTTTATCTGTAAAATGAGAAAGTCCTATCATGCTATCAGAGACCCCTTCTACCTCTTAAGGAAAATAGAAACCTTCACTGTTCTTTCTTGAACTCTCAAAGCATTAAGAGTAAAAAAGCAAACTGAAATACCTTTTTTTTTTATTGATTCAGTTCTCTGCTAAGCAGCTGATAAGTATAAGCATGTTATTCTGTGCCATAAGAGAACTGCATTATCTTTCTAGGCTGTTTATTTTTAAAATATATTTGCTAAGGCCCCTGTTTGATTAGTCTCACATCTCATACTGACTCTAGAGAGATTGTACTGAGAAAGAGAGAGATCATTCCATAGGATTTCTGTGAGTTTGGTACTCAAGGGATACAGTGTCATCAACTGTGAAATACCAACAGTAGATTCACAAACTGCATAATTTTACAGTACTCATTCCAAGTAATCTAAATTGGGTCCTCCTTTGGTTTGTAGCTAGAATGCCTCCATGAACACACAGGGTGAAAAATATCAGCACATCTAGTCCTGGCAGTCATTTCAAGTGACAGCAGCCAATGCAAATGTACAGCAGTAAAAAGAAACTAGAAGCAGACAGTGGCAGTGATTGGTAAAACATCTTGAGCATCAAAGTCCAAACAAAGGAGATGGGGAGGATGGCACAGAGTTGACAAGTCTGCCAAAAATTTTCCTGCCTGCTTGCCTCTTTCTAAAATCAACAGAACTGGGGATTTCCCCAGATTCGCTCTTTGTTTCTGACTTCCTAATTAGATCATATTTTCATGCTGACCTCCTTTTGTTGTCACTTTCTTGGGTACCTTATTTGGTTCCTTTTCATGCCCCATTGACTTTATATTGTTATACTTTCCCTGGTCAACACCAACATACTTGCTCCTTTCTAATAACTTCCATTTCAACATGATGAGATAAAATCAGAAAAATCAAATTATAAAGAAGACAATTTTTATCAAGTAAAGTAAAATAAGAGGAAATAGCCAAAAAATCTGAAATCAGAGTCAGCCACAGACAGCAAAGATGTACTGCTCTGCTTGCCATCTCCATTATTATAACTTACAGATGGAAATTATGGTATGTAAAATACCGAGATCTACAATTGTGCTTCTAATTGCAGTGTTTTCAATTCAACATTTCAACAAAATGAGGTGATGGCTTATATTCTTCCCTAGAAAATCAAAATATTAATAAATGGCATGATTAGTTGCCTAAATTATAAATCTTTCACACAGAGCCTATGTCCCCTCCCCAGGAGCTACCACATTAGGCAACTCAGAGCTCCCAAATACTGTATCTAGCCCAAATACTAAGAATTTTGTTTCAGGTAAGGGTCCCAAAAGATATATTTCAAAGGAGACTATTATAAAGGGATGCTAATGAAAAAAATATTGATAATGAGTATAGCACAGGCTCCAACCAGTGAGAATATACACAGGTAATAAGTAGCCACTATGGTTGTAGTAGAACAAACCATCTGAATATCAACCCAGATTATAAATTTTGCTAATACCAAACTAAGAGATTAGGAAATGAGCCCCTAAGTATTCATTAATTTATTGTACATCTGTTCTGTGAAAGGCATATGCTAGATATGGAGGAAAATGCAAAAATAATTAAGATTTCCTTAGTTATAAGACCCTTGTGTCTTGTGGGTAAGATGGAAAGTACAGAAAAATTACAGAATAAGGAAGAAAATAATAAGGATTACTCAAGAAGTATTAATATACTTTGTGAGTTCAGATGAGGGAAATATACTTTATTGGATATATCAGAAAACGAATTCTGGAAGGAAAGGTTTTCAAGGATGAGTATGGATTTCATTAGTCGGAATTAGAGGTAGGGATAGTGGGCAAATGAAATGTCATTAAGAAAAATACAGAGAGATGCCTGGGTGGCTCAGTCAGTTGAGTGTCTGACTTCAGCTCAGGTCAAAATCTCATGGTTCGTGAGTTCGAACCCCACAGCAGGTTCTGGGCTGACAGCTCTGAGCCTGAAGCCTGCTTCTGATTCTGTATGTCCCTCTCTCTCTCTGTCCCTCCCCTGCTCATCCTTTCTCTCTCTCTCTCTCTCTCTCTCTCTCTCTCTCTCTCTCTCAAAAATAAACATTAAAAAAAAAGAAAAATACAGAAATAAGCAAGTGCAAAACACTTTGGGAGCATAGCAAATAGTACACGTAGTAATAAAGTAGACTGTATAAAGTATAGAAGTATGGAGATAATTCTGGAAAAGTAGGTTGGTGCCACAACATAGAGTACTTGAATAAGAGTCTGAGGTGTTAGCATATAATTCTTTCTGCAATGGGGATATACTGAAGGTTTTTAAGCAGTGGAGGAACATGATCAAAGCAATATATTAGGACATTTAATCTATAGAAATGTGAGTGATGCATTATGATTCTACTGTCATACTGTTAATCAAAAGAGATAATTTAGGGGACGAGGAGTAGCTACATGTCAAGGATAATCCTAGGGTTTTGAGTTTGAATAGCTGGAAGGACAGTTAAGTTATGAAAGAAAACTGTTAAGATCAGGAAAAGGAGTGGTGATGGAAGATGAAGTAAATTTTAGGAACATGAAACTGAAAGTGACAGCAGAGCATTGAGGTCAAGATGTCCAGAAGTTTCTTGGAAATATAGGTATAGATTTTACCACAAGATTATTGAGTTTGTGAGATTTCTGGTTATAGTACGGAAATGGAAGGGATTGTTAGAGTGACTATTAAGAGAAAAGGATCCAAAAACAGAACTTTGAAAATGCCCTCAGTTGGGTGCTAAAAGTAGAACTAGCAAAGAAGATAGAGAAATAGTATTTGGGCAAGTGGGAGGAGAATCAAAACATTGTTCTACGAGCAAAGGAAAAGGGAAGTATTGAGAAAGCAGAAAAGGTGGGCATTTTCAACAATGACATATGCTATGGTGGAATCAAAAAAGATAAAGACCAATGATTTGCCATTTGGGACCTTTCTATCAACTTTTTAAGAGCGTATTTTCAATATTTGTATGGAACTGGGAACCAGAATGCAGGAACTAAGCAGTGACTAGATAGTGAGACTACAGGGATTAATAGTATTCATTTGACAAATGAACAATTGTATCGAATGATTCCTCAGTGTCATGTATTGGTTAGGTACTGAGGGTGTACCACCAATCAGGACACTTGCCTCAAGGAGCTCAGATACCTTTGGGAAAACATGTGTGTAGCTGTATGATAAAATTGCAATGTGATTTTATATGTGCTATAATGAGATAGGAACCAAGTGCTTGTACAGTGCAGGAGTTAGAATAAGTTTCCCCACCCCCACTCCTTTGCCTCTCAGGTTTGCATCCCTGGAATATAGACTGTGATGTCTAGGAGTTTGGTGGGTGAAAGGAACATCTCACTTTTCCTCAATAACCTAGTATGTATCTATCCCTTATGAATTTTGCTGAACCTTTCTGGACCATCTTTGTTACAGCCTTTGTTAGCACTCCAGATAATAATTTCCATAGTTACAATCCACTTTGGAAAGAATTACCCATAAGTATTCCTGAATTTGTCATTATAACATCAAAGGTAAGCTTTGGAAAAAAAAATACACGGAGAAAATCATTGCAGGAGTGAAAAACACACTTAAGATACAAATACACAGTGCCACATCTGTTTCATTACTGAATACCTGTAGACACTCAGAACTGGCTTGTCTTCTCTCAACCAACTTGACTTATTCATTCTTTTCCCACTAGAAGTA